TCGCTCTCAATCTGCAGGTTTACTAGTGGTTCCTAGAATTTCTAAAGTAGAATGGGAGGCAGATCTTTTAGTTATCAGGCTCCTCTCCTGTGGAACCAACTACCAGTTTTAGTCCGTGAGGCAGACACCCTGTCTACTTTTAAGGCTAGGCTTAAAACTTTCCTTTTTGATAAAGCTTATAATTAGAGTGGTTCAGGTTATCCTGAGCTATCTCTATAGTTATGCTGCTATAGGCTTAGACTGCTGGAGGACTGCTATTTGTTGAGTTACTTGCTAAAAATGTATTTCAGTTTTATAAACATCAAACTAAAGGCAATATATCGGATCGGGACAAAAATCAAATCTGATTTAGGGTTTAAAGATTGGATTGGGAGCAAAGGCCTAAAATGCTGATTGTAAAATCCCTAATTCCAACACAATTAATGTCTTGCATAAAGCAACACTGTGTGACTTTTTCCATCTTTGTTTAGGTCAATATGATGCTTCGTGCTTTTTGCTCTTCTGGCTGTGGAAATGAACACTTAATGGCTCCATGGTGATGGTGGTCAGAGGGCCGCCTGGCTTCTGTCAGCGAGCCCCAGAGCATCTGTGGCCACAATGTAGCTCCCCACCATCAGGGAATGACTGAATGAATTTACTATCAAGTTCTAAATTTTAAAATTTCACTGAACTATTTGAGTTTTTATTTTACATTCATCAAACCTTGAATTCTGTGTTGTTGAAAGTTAAAATCGTGAATTTTTGCAGCTTAATTCAAGTTATATGGTGTGAAAATAAAAATCTTTTAAATTGACATTTAAAAAAATGCAATCTACAAAGGAAACCTTTCCTTGTTTTCATTTTTTAAAACAACTTCACCATAAAACCTTTTTTTTATTCAAATTTTTTTAAAGTTTCTTTGCTGGATTGCATTTTTTTAAATCTCAATTTACTAACTGGGTGGGATTTTTTTCCATTTATAAAACATGTTCTTTTTTGGCAGCAATAACTGAGTGACATTCACTCCATAAAAGTAGCAGTAACCTGTTAACCATGCAATATATTTCCAACTTCTTGCTCCAGAACCTACTTTCCAACTTATTTTCCAACTGTGATTAATTTGTCATATGCATCTTTGGCTAAAATTTTTCAGGAACGTTAATCTTTCAAACTGGCAACCTTTGCAGTCGCTGCAAAGGGCAAAGGAAATGTCTCCCGCAATAATTACTGTCCCAGATTTATGCTAACTTAACAAGAAGTTAGTAAAACTTTACATTTGAATTAGAAGCTTATTTGTCATTACACAGAAATACACAGTTATTTGGCAGCCATTTGTTAGCGGCGATGTTGCAGGAACATTTCTGTTAATTTCCAAGAGGTTGACGTCATTTAAATAAATACTGATTTCCTTTTTAAATGCACACAGTCTCATTACAAGACTTTTCACATTTATTTCTAATTTTTACAGCTGTAGCTCCCTCTGGTTGCACTGATACTCTTTCTGAAAGATGACAGCATTTTGCTAGAGAACTTTTGTGTGTTTTAAGCTTTTTTTCTTTATTTCTTTGCAAATGAATCCATTCTGTGTATATTTAACATAACACGCTGTTATTGATAAACAAGCGAGTGTTGATGTGCAGAAACAGTGAAAATAAGCCTCCAAAAAACTGTTAAACGATGCATTTTTGTTTGTTTTTGTTCCACTGAAACTTTTATTTTTTTCCTTTAAATATTTATTTCATTTACCGTAAATGTTTTTTAACTTTAAGCTTTTTTCCAGTTTGTGTTTGCAGAAACAGAAACTGTCTGCTCATGCTTACATGATGCTGTAATTCTATTTAGGCTTAAAACGGATCATCTAAACACTGTCAGGATGGATGTTTAGTCCATATTAGCTTTCTCCATGATGATGTAATATTTTTCTGTCTTTTTTCCGTTTAGTCAGATAATGTGATTCTGCACCTTTAAGGGCTTCATAACAGAGAGAGTGGATCCATACAAGTGAACTGATCTGCAGGTGTGTTTAGAAAATTTGGGGCCCTAGGCAAAGACAGTTTTTGAAATCAAAGTGCTAGAGGGGTCTGAAAAGTCATAAATATAGAGATAAAAGCGCTAAGTTGGGAACACTGCTCTTTGCATCGTTTGTTTTCAAATGGTTTGCTGCTGTCTGTTTGGAACTTTCTGAACATGTGCAGCAAATGGACTGATCCAATATGGTGGACACTGAAGGGGGGGCTGAGACACACTTTTTTTTTTAATTTTTGCAAGACTAGTGGCTCTTTTTTTTTTCTCGACAGTAGGCTGACAGGCAGAGATGGCAAAAGTACTCACTTTCCGTACTTGAGTAAAAGTACAGATACTTGTGTTAAAAAATACTCTGGTAAAAGTGGAAGTACTGATTAAACTTCTTTACTCAAGTAAAAGTAACAAAGTACAGGCTTGTAAATTTACTTTAAGTATAAAAGTAAAAGTAGAAACCACTTTTTTCATGCCGTTGCCTACATTTTAAATGGATGTCTGCCAATAGGACTAGATCTCCGTTGTGTTCATTTTCAATCATCTCGTCGTCCATGCTACTATGCTAACGCCACCGCCACCAAGCTGCAATGATTTGACGCGAATGAATACCGCCGAATCTGTCGATTCATCTTGTAGTGGTGCGTCAAATGCAACGTAGATTCCCATCCAATTAGATTGAATTTGATATTGATGACGTGAAATATAATAACGGTAACTCCATTGAAATGATTCAAAACTAAAGTAACGAGCCAATTTTTTAAAATGTAAGGAGTAGAAAGTACAGATATTTGTGTAAAAATGTAAGGAGTAGAAATAAAAAGTCGCCATAAAAATATGTAGTAAAGTAAAGTAAAAATATCAGAAAAATCTACTTGAGTACAGTAATGAAGTATTTGTACTTCGTTACTTCCCATCTCTGCTGACAGGAAAGGAGGTATGACAGTGGGAGAGCCATGCGGCAAAGGAGCACAGGCCTCATTCTAACCCAGGTCGGCCATGTTGACTAAGGCTTCCGTACATGGGTCGTGCGTGCTAAAAACATAATTAATGTGCACAAATAAGGAATAGTTGTATTAATCATACATGTAAACAGAGTTTTATGGGGCCCCCAGGAACTTGGGGCCCTAGGCAACTGCCTAGAATTGCCTAATGGTAAATCCCCCCAAAATCATTAAAGCTCTGAATGAGTTTGACTGCTGCCGATCGGCACCACAGCCATCATCCCCCTTTAAGTCTTTAGCCAGAACTTTTGATATTACATCCTCTCCTTTTTGTCAGCTTTCAATCAGATCTAATCTGATTTACTCTGAATGTAGAAAATATCAGTATTAGTGATTAACAAAGACTATTGCTGCCTGTTTGCCTACCATCTGAGCCAGATTATTCCAGCTGTTTGGTGAGAGATACTCTAGTGTTCCTAATATAAGTTCTGAGATTCTGATTCTGACCTGTTTCTGCCTTTGGATATCCGAGTTTAGCTTTGCCCTTCCTGCTCTGTTAGTCCGGTTTATACTGGATTAATTCCTGGATTCTGCTGGTTAATTGAACTTGGACTGTGCTTCTAACCTCGGCTTGGATTATCCTCTGGTACCTCCTCGACTCTCTGATCTTCTGGTCTGTAAACCTGGTTCTGCCTTTTATCCTGAGTTTCTATCCCTACAGAGGTTCCGGTTTATTCGCCCCAGCTGATGAGCAGCCGCATGCTGAGTTGTTTTGAATAAAGGCTTGTTTGAAAATTGTCCGGATCTGTCTGTTTTGAATATTGGATCCAAGGTTCCTAGATCCTGACAATCAGCTCAGATAGAAAGTCTGTCAGCGAGACAGAAACCTCTAGAAGATCCTGAACCACGGATGGTTTTTAGCTGGAGGAGTGCTGTGAACATTTCTGAAGACTTCCAGTCATCTCCCAATTTTTTTCTATCTTCAGTTAAATTAGAATTATGGAACAAGATAAAACAAAAAGTTCATTTGTTTATAAAAAAGCTATAAACCCAGAAAGAATGTTAGATATAACAGTGTTTTTAATGATTTTATTGAAATGAATAAATAAATAAAATCCCCTAACTGCTCCCTAATGTTATGTTTTAGCCTTTAATTCTACAATATTTTACAGCAGAGGTCAGAGATTACGGACCGCGGTCCGGATCCGGACCCAACCTGATTTAAAACATTTATAAATTAAAGTATATAACTAAATTATATTATTAAATTATACCAACGATTGTTGTTCTCTACTTAAAAAAACAACAATTTTTTTAAAATGGAAAAATTTTCCTTTTTATATATATATATATATATTCTTTTATTTAAAAATTCATTTTATAACATGGGTGCATAAAAAACTAATTTTATTTCATTGGTAAATTTTGTTTAAAAGTAACAGATTATTATTAAAAATGTCTCCGGACCTTTACTGGTTGATAATTTTCTTTATTCAGACCCCGCTGATTGTTAATCGATCACCCCTGTTTTACAGCTTTCAGTGTGCATTTTTCTCCAGGATTGTTTATAATTCATAAAGAAAATCTAAATATGCCAAAAGACTTTCTGTTATTTAATGTAATCCAGGTGCAAATTAATCTTTTCATGAAAAGTTTATAGCTCAAACTCAAATCTAAACATACACAAACACATCATGAACTCACCGATGACCAAGTATATATATACACACACATATATATATATATATATATATATATATATATATATATATATATATGTGCATATTTTACATTTCCAGGTTATTTAAACTTGGTTGCTTTTTGGTTAGAAGCTGATAAGTATTAGTGTAATGAGGGGGGGCTAGACTTCAACCCCCTTCATGATCATTGCTAGGAGGCTTGTTCTCCTCAGTGAGACTGAAAATTATGGGTAGACTTCAAAAACTCTGGAAATGATTCAGATTCTGGGTTTTAAATCACAGAACCATGAAATGTTTCACTGCAAAAGGTCAACAGGTGAGAAAAATGAGCCACGTTCGGGTTGTTCTGATGGAGCCTTACCTCCTCCAGTAACTGGTCCAGCCGTCCAACAATGAGGGGCTCCACCTGCTCCAGAGTCATCATCCAGGCGGTGAACTTCTCATCCTGCTGCTGCTCCAGACTCAGGATCCTGGACTGAAGCTCCATGGTCCTCATTAGGACAAACACACAGAGTCCAAAGCAGAGAGCAGACACAGAGATGCAGACCATAATCCAGGACAGATTATTCCAGATTGACTGCTTCCATAGTTTCTGTCCTGCTGTGGGATTTATCCTCCTCTCACCAGCTGCTTTATCAAAAACTTTACACCTCTGCTCATCCTCCATTCTGCACAGATAGAGAAATTATTTAAAAAAACTACAAAAACAAACAAATTAAAACTTAGAGGAGTTCTTCCGTCCCGCTGATCTTCCTCACGTCAAAAACACTTTATAAACTTGCTTCTAAAGCTGCAGGAGTTTCATAGTTTTCCCTTTATTTCCCCTCAGCTCTGCTGCGGTTCAATGTGGAGGAGGCAGGCTGGATCTCTGACAGCTCTGGATGCCGCAGGGCTCCGCTCCGCCCCTGGCTTTAGGCTGCATGCCGGGGGGGTATTCATAGCAGCGCTGCCGCCCCTTTGATCCAGCCACTGGCTGAGAGATATTTTTAGGGGTGTGAAAAGCCAGGATCCACTGTCACAAAGCTGCTGCACCGACAGCGCTGCTGGCCTCTGGATGTGTCATAAATACTCTATATTCAGTCCCATAGAATAGATGGAGGGTCCATCCTTATGGGAAAAACACACTGGGTTGTTTTACTGTAAACATTTGATCTACTTCATGTGGAAATTAAAATTTTTCCCATTTTTAGGGAAGCTGTAATGGGTTTTCTGAAGGACAAGGTTAAAATCTGCTCTGTTTACATTGTTTGTAGTGAGGAAGAGAAGCTTTCTATGTTTTAGTACTTATGTTTTCAACTGCAGCGGCTGTAATTTATACAACATACAATGTTTCTCCAATCAGATGCTGTTCCTTAAATGAAACAATTCAGACTCTTCCTTCACATCTAAAGACTTTTTGGGGGCATATTTGATGGCTCTTGGCATGCAGGAAGAATTGGGTCTCAAATCAGTGCAGGACCCCCCCTCCCGCTCTGACTTTACTGGTTAAGAGACTGGATCTGGTAGCCTCTGCCTTTCATCCTCACAGACCCTCTGGCTTTGAAAACATCCAGCTGTTTTCTCAATCAGAGAAGGACAAACAGCTTCTACTCCCCATTGGCTGAAGGCTCGGGGCCTTCTAACTGGCTGAGACGTTACATAAAAGCAGCTGGAGAAGTCATCTGCTGGCCTGCTCCGGATGAGGAGGAGAGCCGCTCAGCAGCGATGGTTTCACCTTCCCAGGATGGTCCCAGTCCAGGTTCCTTCAGTCACCAGAAGAACCGAGTTCACTCCAACAGTCCAGGTTCCTTCGGTCACCAGAAGAACCGAGTTCACTCCAACAGTCCAGGTTCCTTCGGTCACCAGAAGAACCGAGTTCACTCCAACAGTCCAGGTTCCTTCGGTCACCAGAAGAACCAA